TAAGTGTTACAGATCAGCACTTTTGCCATTTTAAACTGTGAAGGCAGTTTCCTCACCTCTTATAGTGTCCTAGAAGTCTTAACAGCAAAACAATTTGAAAGCACTTTAATGGGCTATTCTCTAATTCTTAGCTGACCACTAGATACCTGATTGTATTTGGATCTTAACCAAGACAATGAAGTATCAATATCTGCCTTATCACTTTATACAATTTTTAAAAACTTTATATATTTTAAGAAGTTTAGGAGCCGGGGATATAGTTCAGTGGTGTAAGCACCTGCCTGGCAAGTGCAAGGTCCTAAGTTAAATCCCTGGTACCACAATAAATAAATAAAAAATAAAAAGTTTACGTATAATGCAAGTTATATTTGAGGACCATATTGACCCAGTAATTCATAGCACAGAGTTAAATTGTTAAACGAAGTCCAGAAATACTTGCTCAAGAATTTTTAATTTTTTTACACCCATCTCCAAGGGATTTTTCAATATCATCACTCAACAAAACCAAGTCAAACCAACTAACCTGTTAGCTAACAGTGTATTAAAAAATCCCAATAGCTACCATGCATTCGGCTCTTTAGCTTTCTTCATGGATTTGGCTTTTGTGCTTATGCTGCCGCAGGTTGTGTCTAGATAACAGACTTCATGTCCAATGTGCATCTAGATGACCATCACATTTTAACACATATAACACAAGTAAGAGATTCATTCTCACAGGTATTTCAGCCTTGGGTTTTGGTTCAGGTGGATTTGAAGACCATGTAAATATTGGGCATGGTGCCCCAGGATTATGAAAGATCTGTCTGTCTGTCTGTCTGTCTGGAAATGTTATGTAATGTAATGATTAGAACTGTAAGTACAATAATAAGTTCAAATACATAAAAGATGCATACAACCTTTCTTTTAGTAATTTTAGTTTTTGAAAATTTACCATTTGGGCACAGCCCTACATGTATGCCAAGTGGTATGTACAAACATGTTGTTTGAAGTCGTGTTTGTAATGCCGATAGCTGAAAAATAAAGCACATTCAAAACATAAATTCCTACTTATTCAAATACACATGCATTTGCTAACATTGTTTGCTTATGATGTGCAAGGCTTTATGCCATACGATACTTGTATCACTTATGTGTCTATACCTTCATATAACATTTAATATTTATATTAATATGCCTACACCTATGTCTATCCCCATATATACCTGTAAATATGCACTTTGTATAGTTGGATTGTCCAGGTTTCGTCTGGTTCTTGTTGTGCAGTGCAGGAACAGAATCTGTGCTCATGTGGAGGGCAAGAAATAAACTTACTATGCTCAGCAAGTATACCTGAGTGCCTAAAGTGCTTCAGCAGCCTCTGTTTGCTCACGTAGACCCTTCCCTGGCCTTCAACACAAGATCCCCTGACACAGGAGCCTGGAAAGTGACTGATTCCACCTGAGAGTTTCAACATTGAGTTCCAGGCTCCTGGAGGGAGTCGGAATAGCACAAGCAAGTCTATTTCCAAAGACCATTGGCACTTCTTAGCAGCAGACCTGTGTACAGCTCTACCCCATCCATTTTACAGCCACATCAAGGACTGTGGCCTCCCTCAAGAGCTATGGCATTCTATGGCTTGTCAATTTTATTGAACTCTGTATTTGTCAATGTTACAGATTCAAATAAATATTTCTTGGTCCCCTGAGTATATTAGCCAAAGGGCTGAGGGATTCTATGAGCCTCCAGAAATTGGGTATATTGCATTCTCACGGAAAATTTTAACACCTCATTAAAAAAAAGAAAACAAAAACAAATAACAAAACAAAAACAGAAATCACCTATTTAGGTATTCAAATATCTCACTTTAGAACTTCACAATAATGACATTTATAATTCATTTAAATTACTCTGTAGTGGGGCTGGTGAGATGGCTCAGTGGTCTAAAGCACCTACTTAGAACAAGCTTAGCAATGCAAAGGGACCACGGTTCAATCCCCCAGCACCACATGCCAGCCAGCCTCGCGCCCTGGTGGGCTGAGCTGGCCACACACACACACACACACACACACACACACACACACACCCAAATAAATAAATAAAATAAAAAAAATTAAAAAAAAAATAAATTACTCTGTAGTGACCATGACACTTGATCACTAGAAAAAAAATTTTTTTTGTGGTATTGGGATTGAACTCAAGGCCTACTCACTAACCAAAATCCCCAGCCCCTTTTAAAATTTTGAGACAGGTATCATTATGTCTCAGAAATTCCCTGGGCAAGGTTTGAACTTACAATCCTCCTGCCTCAGCCTCCCATAATACTCATGGGATTATAGGTTTGAGCCACTATGCCCAGCTTCTAAATGCATTTTATAAGCTTATAGCTCCACAGTTTTTAAGGCAATAAGTGAAGTTCAGCTAGTCATGAACTAGGCATAATGGTGAGTAATCCTTCGAGAGACATCTACTGATAGTGTTTATATTACACTCTACAGGCTATCTAAAGACAACTTCAAGGGCTAGAAATTCCCAGGAATTCAAATTCATCTAAACATTTTTACCAAGAATTCTCCTATGTGGAATGTGTCACATAATTCTGCCAGTGCACCCTGATGAGGAGGTTGTTACAAGGTCTAAGGTTCAAGGCCATGCTGTACTTGAGTACTGTTAGTGCCGTGGGGTGCAGGAACAGATTCTAGGGCCAGATGACTGAAGTTCAATTTACTTATGCTATAGGGTTGTGACAGTGGGCAAGTTATTTCTTTGTTCAACATGTAAATTCCACAGATTTAAAACAGGCATGATATCAATTCCTCCTTCCTAAGATTGTTGCAATGAGTTAAAGAAATGAAGCAAGTACTTAGGGCAGAATAAGTGGTAGTCACTATTATTAGATTAAAGCAAAGGAAACAATGCAGAGTCCCATCTTAACAAGCCCAGCAATTGGATATAATTTTATGTGAGGGATTTGTCACTGACTTAGGAAAATGTCTAGATGATTGGCTTTGTAATGACTCATTTTATTTCAGAAGTAAAAACACAGCTTTAACAGACTGGATGGCTTCAGGGAAAAGGATGTAACTTCCTGGGGAAATAATAAAAAGGACTTTGAATGAGAAAGGAATCCTGTGTACTCAGTCAGATAGTCTTTGGTTTATGGAAACTTATTTGATGAGACAGAATGTCTCTTCCACTATCCCACAAGGACCGATTTACAACTTGTCTGGAGGCAACAAAACAAAAGAAAATGTTCTCAACCCTACCTTCTACACAGACCATCAGTCTCTGGTTGATTTGGAGAGCTTTCAAAGTGGGCTGGATATGTGGGGATTCCAGTTTTGAGGAACTGAAATGTCTTTGACAAATTACCAGGACAGGGCTTAGTTTGCAGGACTCCTTAGGAAGCAGGTGGGTTTTTCTTGCCTACTGGAGTTGTGGCTGCTTTAAAGGGAGAGACTCTTAATCGGCCCATACTTTTGTTTAAAGCAAACCCTCAGTCTAACAGAACCAAGTGCAGTACAGGATTATAAAATTTCTTCCCCAATTTTGGGAGAGTTTCTTACAAACCTGGATCCTCATCTGGGCCTCATCCCTAAACTGCAGAAATATCTAGAATTGCTTTAAAATGTCCCATTTGTCTTAGAATTTTCTTTCTTAGATTTAAGAAGGAAAATGTGTAAGTGTGCTGTAAGGTAACCGCACCCGTCACAGCACTCAAAGCATCCCCCACAATGTTTTCCAACCTTATACCTGTTTAACTCTGCACTTGTGCAGAAATCCACAAAGTGTGTTCTCCTTCCCTAATGCTTTGCTTACACTCTTATGTGTGACTTTCTGTTGCTGCTGATCATTGGGAAGCAGAGTTTTAATTATCTGCAAGGTGTTTTAAAATTTTCCAGCTCTTTCACTCAAGCTGATTTTTTAATACCAGAAATCCCCAGTATGTGCAGAATACAAGTCTTACTGTAGAGTTGAGCAAACTGAGACCCAGAGTGTTGGGATGTGTCCAGAATTTCAAGACAACATTGTGTCTGAAGGTGGCTGCATATGTCCTGCCTGGGTACTTATACCTGTTTCCTCTGACACCTGTGGTGAGGCTAATGCTAATAATGTCCCATAGTAAAACTAACTACTAAAGTCATCACACACTTTGAATGCTCCTTGGTTTTGTCCATAGAATAATCTATGGGATGCAGTCATATGGTATATACTTTGGAACCTGACAGGCTTGGGCCTGATCTCTAGCTCTAAGCCTTACTCATTGGAAGGCCTTGAGTGTCTTACTACTGACTTGTAAGGGCTGGAGAAATCTACTTGAGGGCTACTGGAAAGAGTAAAGGAAATAATGAATTTTTCCAGCATTTGAACCACTGCAGGCATTCAGTGAAGAGTAGCTAACCTTACTCCTAGCATCTCGACTGTCTTCCCTACTTACCAGAGTGGGCTTTCTTTATCCCAGGCCTTTGGTTCTCCCCAAAATCTACTCCAGCTCTTCACTTTCCAGGTCCTCACAGACAGTGCTCCCCAAAGTTAGCATGCATATAGAGCACCTGAGCATTAGAGGGGCAGATTCTGCTGTAATAGGAAGACCTGCATTCCCTAACAAGCCCTGGGAATGGCAATGCTGCCAGTCTGTGAACTTCCCCTTGAGTAAAGAATGTGCCCTTGTGGTTGGACTTCATGACTGATGGTGATTCTCAAAGAGTTCCCCATAACCACACAGAGGACTTTAAAAAATACAAATTGTTGTCTCTACGCTAGAGTTTCATTGTGCCTGGGGTGGAGAAGGCAAACCTTCATTTCTAGTAAGCTCTCAAAGAAAACAGCCTGCTGATCAAAAGACTACTCGTCCTAGGCTTGGCAGAGAGCTGCTGAAGACTAGCAGAGAATTTGGTTCCAAGGAGTTTTAGGAAGGGAAGACTATTCATGAGCAAGCTCCCGCTGAAGGTAGTCTCAGCTTCCCCTTTCCAGCCAAGTCCCGCCCACAAATAAGCCCTCAGGAACAACGCAGCTCCCAGTACCTTGTAGACATTGATGGGGATGTCGATGATGATGTGCAGGAGGTCTCCCAGAGCCAGGCTGGCGATCAAGATGTTGGGACCGTTTCGCATGCACTTGTTCTTGTAGATGATTCGCAGCAGTGTTGAGTTTCCGATGATGCCTAGGACGAACACTAAGCAGGACACAACCGTGTTGATGTATTTGAAAGTCTCCTTGATCTCGATGTTTCCGTGGCACTGTGAAGTGGAGGGCTGACGTGGCGGGCCCCCAGGCATCTGCTCTTTCTCAGCTACCTGTGCAGGTGCTGAGGACTCAGGCAGGCTGGAGTTGGAACTGCTAGGCCAGGAGGTCTTAATAGATGGCGTTATTCTCTCTCCGGTCTCCAGAAACCTTGGAGTGGTCCAGGCTGGCGGGAATCCTCTCTCCTCTCCCCAGACCCCGGCCGAAATGCAGGCAAAAACCAGAGCCACCAGGGCGAGTCTGCACAGACTTGTTGGCGACTGCATGCTACTGCTTGCTCCAGTGCGTGTACCGGCCGCTCCGCTGTTTTCTGTCTGGAGACCGGCAGAGGAACCAAGACCGGACCCTGGGATTAGCTCCAGAGCCACGCCTCTGCCTCTGCCAACACTAGCGCAGAGCTCAGCGCGTCGCCACCACCCGCGCGCAGAAGTAACTCAAGTTTGCGCGCCAGTGGGGGAGCCTCTGTGTGCGTCACCCGCTCGCCGCTGAGTCTCGGTCCTGACCCCTCTCCCGGGTTTTTCTTCCCCTGCTTCCCGCCTAGGGGTAGGTCGCTCCGTGGGGCGGGGCCTTCTGGAAGGGGTGTGCCTAGGAAGGAAGGGTGATAAGGCTCAGAACCGAACTCTCCAGGGTGCGGGGAGGTAGATCTGCGTTTCAGCTAAGTGTAGGGACCAGGGAGTGAATCCATCTAGCGGCCGAGGGCAGGTGCCAGCTCTGCAGTTTGCTCGGTAAGGAAACCCTGAGCACCCAGAGCCGGAGCTCGCGGACTCCCCAGGTTGTGAAAGCTCTCAGCGTGGCTGCGCAGCGGTCCCCCCAGAGTGCACCAGAAGTGCCCCGGAATTCTCACCTCAAGTCTAACTTGGGGAAATACCAGCACTAATTAAAAAGCTTCTGTCCCTTGTAAGTGGCTTTCAACACTAGCGTCTCGACGCAGCTTCATTTAAATTGCTGCGTCTATATTTCTTATTGATTTACCTTTTTTAAAAAAGAAAAAATATCCCAAAGGAATAAGTTAAATCGAAGCCCTAAAATAAGATTTAACCACTGGTTTTAACTTATCGAAAAGCTACAAAGTTTACCTTGCGGATGGGACGCACCAGGCGCGGGTAATCAGCACAGACGTCAGCCTCCGGCTGGAGCGCCCTGGCCTGGCAGCTGGGTGTGTGCAGCCTGCTCCGGAGTGGAGCACCCCTTCCCCACCCCCAACTGCAGGCAGGCCTGGCTCTGACGAAACCCCCAGGGAATGGGTCTCCGCTGTCCCCACACAAGCCCTTGCATTCATTCTTCCAATCCCCATCAATCACCGCCTGACTCCTCCCGCGCCTTCCAACCCAGCGGCAACCTTTCCCCTTGGGCAAAGCCTGGATAGCATCAGCGGGAGCTGCCGCTGCAGAGGGCGTCCTGACCAGAGGCGCGTCCCACACCGCTGGACTATGTATTTGTCATAGTTGTAAGTTGTACAAACGAAGAGCTGGAATCAAGGGCAAGTAGTCACGCACCGCATCCTGCTAGGGGCTCCAGAGTAGAACAAAGCCTGGTATTAAACGCCTCAATGCGTACTGTCTTTTATTTCAGATAAATGTCCCGCTTCCGTGAGAGTGAAGACCCCATTGGTTTGGGGACGCCACTCTTTTCTTTTTCTTTACCTTGAAGTTTCAAGGGCCCCAGCAGGGTAGAAAGAAATCCCTTTTCCTCCCTCAGGCTTTCTCGCTGCCCCTGCCGAGGACAGCAGCTCTGCTTTTGCTGCTGCTGTCCAAAGCCATGGTCCCCATGCATGGTTTTTTTATACTGTAATATGAGGGACTGGATACAGTAGTCTTGAAAATGGTCAGAAAGTTATTGTGCAAATTTAATATGATATTTACCAGACAGAACAATGAAACAAGATTTCCCTAGTCACCCTTCAGCTCTATGTTTATGGGAATGAAGGAAATGAAGTGACTGGCTGTTTCGACCCAAGATTGTACAGAAGCCAACAAGTTAGGCCCTGGGGAGCACTTCGTGTCACTGATGTCTTCCAGTCCATAGAGTCCCTGCAGGACTGTGGGACTTCAGGTCCAAAGAGGACCATTCCACTCGCACAGCAGTTTTGCCTGGAGAACTGGTGCACTTTCTTGGCTTCACCCCTAGTAAACATTTTGTTCATTTATTTATTTTTCTGTATTTGGTACAGGGTCTACAGGGTCTCATTAGTTAGGACTCATAGGGATGCACTTGTTTTCAGTCTCCCAAGTGCTGGGATTACAGATGTGGGACACCATGCCCAGTCTCAATTACCATCTCAGAGTGCCCTGGGGATGGGCCGGCAAGGCACCAGGGGTGGGGGTGGGTGGGTGCCTGAGCAGGTGCTTTAGTCTGCTGAGCTACCTGGCTGGCCCTTTAGCTAATGGTTTAGATGAGGCGCAACTGTTGAACTTTCTTTACTTTTTGCCCCCTCTTGTTTGTACCCCTGTGAAATACTTTCTGGAAAACTGGAAGCAGAAAATCAATTTCTATTTTAGAAAGTGAACTTTAAGTGAAAAATACAGTTACGAATACCATAAAAAGTAAGGTTAAAGGAATGCAAAGTATGATCTGGGCTGGAGTGCTAATTACAAAACAGGCTGTTTGGAACATAGTTGTGCTCCTACCCTGTCTCAGTGAGAAAGGTCAACTTTCAGTTGCTTCATAGCAGAGTGGAGAAACAATGTGCATGGTTATCTGAAAGAGAATGGTGTGGATGCATTTGCAGCAGGACATTTGGCTGCCCCAGGGCAGATCTGAGTCTGGTCCTCTTATACAATCCCTCTTCCTTTCTTGCCCAGTGCTCCTGTGAGCACACTCTCTCCCATGTCATCTTCATCATCAGCTTCATTCCTTTGTCCTCCGCTGAGTCCTGGGCTTTCCTTGTGATTCCCAGCACACTTCACCTCTTCTCTTCTAATACTTTTTGGCCTCATATCTTAGTACTTACTAACTTCTTCAGGACAGAGACTGAATTATAAGTTCTTTTTGTGCTGTTACAACATCTGCCTTAGGTTGAGCTCAAGAAATATTTTCATAGACTGCTAATTTCATTTTAAATTATTTAATTGTAGTTTAGCAACTCTAGTCATAGGACTCAAGAATGAATGCAAATAATTTTGACGTAAACACATATCATTTCTCATTTGGAGTTTTAAAACACATTGCACATTGCCGAGTATAAGACCTATTGTCTGCAGTAGGCACATCATTTATAGGAACTCATTATTCCTTTACAATAATCTGTGAGCCCCAAATTATTTCTTATGATCTTATAAGTAGTAAAATTAAATCTCAAAAATTTACTCATGGTCACACGACTACTTTGTTGTGAGGTCAGGGGTAGGAGCTAGAATTTGAATCCATGCCTCTCTGGTTACCCAGACTGTACTTCAGGTTAATTTAATTACACAGAATCTAAGCTGATCTCCTCTTATAGACCAGGGAAACAGTGTTTTAGACACTAGTAATATGTAATAGAAATTTAACCTTAAATATTTTGCCAAGAGGCTGGAGAGATACCTTGGCCGTCTAAGCGCCTAGCTGGCAAGGGTAATGACAAGTATTTGATCTCCATTACCACAAGATGTGGCAGCCCCATGCAGAACTGGCCACCAAAACCTGATGTGGTGGCACACGCCTGTAATCCCATTGCTGGGGAGGCTGGAGGAGTCCAAGCTGCATAGTGAGACCTTGACCAAATAAATAAACATATAAATAAATAACATATTTCACCAAAATATGCAAAGGTAACCATGTGAAGTGTATGCAAAGGTTAAATCTTTGAATTGCATGAATTACCACAATCAAGTCTTAAGAAATCGAGTCTCAGTTTCCCTTTTATATAAAACGGAGGGACAGAGTTAGACTTCAAGTTACTTTCTGCTCTGACAAATGAGTCTGGTTGATAAACTGGCATTGTAAGAGTGATCTGAAGTGCTAGACAATTGGAACAGACAGATCTCTGATTATATATCTTTTGTTTTTTGTTTTGTTTTGTTTTGTTTTCATGCTTGGAATAGTACTACTCTGGACATAGAGGTGTTTTTTACCTTATAGTTTAAAATCTCATACTCACAAACATTTAAAAATTCCCTGGTAGTTAGCTACTGTGTAAATTTCATTTGTATACAGGAGCAAAATGTTTTATCTAAGTTGAAGAATCATTTCCTGAATACTTCTAGTTTCAGGCTAATACTGCATATACAAAAAAATTATTTGGGGACATGGGGCTGCATAATTGGACTCATCCACAAAGTTACTTTTGCAAAGTATTTTAGGAAAACTGTCAAGAGTCCAAGATGACTAAGATCACCCTGCAAAATCAGAAAGGTAGTGCTGGGAAATGTCCCAATATCTCCTTTAAATACTTCAGCGAGAAAGTTCTGAAGACAGAGCTGAATGAGCTTCAGAATTTATCCTTTCAAAGAAGTTTGCCATGGGGAGCTTGCCGAAAGCAAATATTTTCCCCTGGTAAGAGAAAAAAGAAAAGCCCTTTAGCACAAAACAGCTAATACTTTCATGTGATCCTCTTGATAGGAGTGTACCTTAGAAGCTTACCTTGAACTCTCTAAATCATGAATGCTAAGGGACAAGGTGTGTGAAAAATGCAGGCAGAGGTGGTTCAATTGCTTCTCCACACAGTCCCCGAGGAGCAGATCCAGTGATCAAATAGTGGTTGAAGTAAGAGCGTGAAAAGATTTAAAGTGACGGTACAAATCAATAGCAAACAGCACGAACATTTCTATTTCCTGGATTTTTCCTCTACATTAAATGACTATATGTATGTGGGGTATATGGTTGAGAATCTTTTTTAAATTAAAGTAAAACTTATATACAGGTAATTGGAGAAAACCTAAGTACATAGTTTGAAGGGTTTTGATCAAGCTGTATTTCATATCTGAGGAACTAACTTTTGGAGAATTTTTTTTTTTTTTTTGCCAAGTAGCAAAATCTGAATATTTTGAATTTAAAGACAATTATTATATCTGCTTTATCCAACACACACACACACACACACACACACACACACACACACACATGGTCCATAATTTTTTTTTTCTGTATCTTAGGGAAGAGTCTACAGGGTGTTCAGGGTCTCACTACTAGATCAGACTCCTAGTGATCCACCTGTTTACAACCTCCCAAGAGCTAGTATTACATGTGCACATCAGCCCAGTCTCAATTGCCGGTATCAGTGTGTCCTGGGGGCAGGACCGGCACAGCAGGCCCAGGGGAATGAACCCCCGGCCCCTGTGCCTACTTGCAGGCACTTTAATTTGCTGAGCTATTTGGCTGGCCCTATATTTCATAATTAAAATGTAGATTTTGCTTTGGTTTACAGATTATATAATTTAAGATTTCAAATTTTAACAATGATTTTTGTCCCTACATAGCCCATATCCTGAAATAATGAAAATTTGCTAGGCTTAATAGTAAACTAGAAATAATACATAATTGAATTCTGCTTATAGAAAGCTGGAAGGCCACACTTCATTTTTTGTTAGTGGAAAATGATGCAATTTAACTACTCTAGGTTATGGTTTACATTAATTAAAAGGTAATTATTTGCTTTATTAATAGTTAAGTGATATTTGTGTTTTTTTCTTTGATGTATTGTTTACACCAATCTGTTAAAAAAAAAACCCTTCACTATAACTGGTTCTACAAACTTAAAAATACTTACAAAATTTTAATGCAACTTATAAAATATATTAGAAATTCCACTCTAAACAGGCAGCTTGGTTTACATTTTTTTAGTTTATCCACACACATGTTTATGTAAAGTTTTTTAGGTCATTGAGTTCTGAAGAAAACACTGTTTTAACCTGACAGTAGAACAGTCTTATCGTGTGCGAGGCAACCTTCTGTGGGCTAGTTCATATTGTGCATAACTTACGATCCTTGTATGCACTTTTTCTGCAGCTGTTTTCTACAGCTTTTGCCTTTCCTTGTTTTCATTGTTTTGATGTACAAACAGAGAGTCTGAAGAGATATAGAATAGTCACAGGGGGTTACAAAGAAGATGAAGAGAAACGTGGAGTTTTAACAATCCAGGGGCAAATAAAAGAGAATTGCTGTTTCATAATGAAAGGCAAAATTCTTTGCAGCACAGAATGGAGTGTCCTGAAAGACACCAAAGGGAAAAATTCCC